ATATAGAAGATGGAGGGCTTGTCGAGTTGGCACAGATATGGGAGGTAAAAAATGGTATCAATATAAAAAGGAGATAGTAAAAAGCCTGATAAGTTTGAAATAAAGGATATTAACCCCAAAGAACTAGAAGAAAAAAAAACGCGACCGCCAACTGATAAAAAAGACTCGTCAAACAACTGAGAAGAGAAAGAAAAAATCTCTTGAAAAAATCCAGTGGTAAAAAGAATGTGATAAAGAAATCGACCAAAGTTGAAGGAAATACTAGTATAGGTCAGCTGGGTAGTGAAAAAGGACGCTTATATTTTGTGCCGGTAATAGTGGTTGTTATTGACGTTACTTTTATATTTCTATAAATCTATTCCAAATTTTCATTTTTCTTTCATTTACATCTGATATTTTGTCAAGTGTCTATAATGATACAAAGATGAATTATAGGATAATAATAATAATAATAATAATAATAATTATTATTATTTAAAGTAGGCATATGTACCTTATCGTTGAGCAGCTCTACCCAATGAGTACAAATGTCATCCTCATGAAGATGAAGATATGAGAATGATAAAATGTTTGTGAAGGCAATAATGCACAGGTAACGTTGTGTATTGCTTTATAGGATACATAAATAGTTTTGGATTCCTGATACCTTCGTGCTTATCCATATCAAAAAAATCCAACTCAGACAGATCATCTTTGAATTAACAATTACGTGATCACATTGTGGTTATTTGCCATTCTACAAAATATTTGCACCTCTGATCGATTTATTATTGTGAAATAAATGTTATCAATTTATCAAAAAAAAAAATTATTTTGAAATGAAATACCTTTATACCAAATTTCAAATTGTATACGATTATTAGAAGATGAAACATTAAAAATGTACTATCCTTAAAATTAAGGTTAATACACTATGGACAACGAAACCCTCTTACTAATTAACATTATATATAAAAGTCACAGGTGGATCATTATTTTGAGTAATAATAGGCAAATACGAACAAATTAAAATTATTTTTAAACAATAGACTTTGTCATAAATTATTACCTCAAAGATGTTTTGACTTCAGATTCAGCTATATAATTCAAAGCATCGTCATCCTTCAGTTCTTGCACGAATTTGAACAATTGATCTGATATCATCCATAATGTTTGAATGATCAAAATTTGATCAATCAAATCAATTGGGATGCCATGAGGTGCAATAATATCATCTGTTTCTCTATCAAAATATTAGAAAATAAGTTCAGAGATTTTTTTTAAAAAAAAAAAAAATAAAATAAATATAATCTATTACCTGACTTGACATATTCCACGGTTTGTAGCAAAAATCACTATAGGTGATATAGCAGATTCTAACGCCTTATTTAGATATGTAAAGCTAATAGATTTTTAAAGGAGGTGTCTCAATTAACTGAAACCTCAATTTCCAATTTGACTCTATTAATAAACCATTTTCACATATCAAAGTTAAGACCAAGTTCGTATTGATCATCGTTACAAAACTTTCCATTTTCTATAG